CTGCAGAGCAAAGACTGAGGTTTCCTGGAAAAAAGGAAGGAAGGAAGGAAGGAAGGAAGGAAGAAAGGAAGGAAGGAAGGAAGGAAGGAAGGAAAAGAAAGAGGAATAGAAACATGTCTGCTGTTAGGTGTATGTTGAAGAGAAGTTAAAATATGAGTTGGGTAGATTCAGACTTCTCAGTAAAATATGACAAAGAGTGAGAGGGCTATTGGCTAGAGCAGTGGTCAGCAAACTGCGTCTCACGAGCCACATGCGGCTCTTTGGCCCCTTGAGTGTGGCTCTTCCACAAAATACCACGTACGGGCGCGCATGTCAGTGCGATTGAAACTTTGTGGCCCATGAGCAGAAGTTGGTATTTTATGGAAAAGCCACACTCAAGGGGCCAAAGAGCCGCATGTGGCTCGTGAGCTGCAGTTTGCTGACCACTGGGCTAGAGTAATGTGACCAAAAAGAGTATTGGTGTTATTTCATACTACTAGTGTGAAAATCAGTTAGGGTTGCAATCATTTCAATTGTGTTTCATGCTTCCGCTTGATATCTGTTGGAGATGGGGCTAATCGTAGCTTACTCTGTTCCAGGCGGTGTGGTTACAGCAAGGCAAAACAAGACCCAGAAGAGGAAAAGATGCATTTTCATAATGGGCACAGTAAGCAAACTGTAAAAACTCAAAAGTACACAATGTCAGGGACAGATTATTATTATGGTGTGTTGTTGTTTTTCAGACAAGATTGCTATTAACGGACCAAAATATTGGTTTAAAAATGTTTTTTGTTTCATTTCTGTGTAAAGCATATAAGCGTAGGGCACTGAGGCTTGATCTAGGCAACAGAGAGATCGTTCGATCCATTATTTACAGCATTCTTTGATTATACTCATTAAAGTAGAAACCCTTTGATTAATATCTAAGCCAATTCTAAATGTTAGCAATACATTCAATAGAAATCTGTTTTTAAATCGCACCATCAGATTACAGATATGAAAATTCTCAGTATTTTTTTTGCAGCATTATAACAGGACATTCCCTGAGCAGATCCTGTAGCAGCAACCTTGGTTCCAATGACTTGAATAACTCTATAGTTTTAAGAAATGCAAAAATCAAGTTTTAACAATGAGCTTTAAGAATTAGTAAATAGTTTGTAATTAATGGTATTTTAATATGTTCCTTTTGTCATTAACATTGCAGCATGAGTTGTTTCATCAAGTAAATGACAAAAAAGGGTTTCTTTTATTTTTGTCACTATTGTAGGACCATAAAAGACAGTCATTAAAGCCATACGTTATGCTGTAAAGCATTGAGTCCATTTTCATAATACTGCTATTTAACGTTACTTATCCTCAAAAAACAAACAAAAAACACCGTGTGGCTGATGTTGGTAGCTTTTAAATGGGATGAAACAGGCTCATGGAACATAGCAGTCTATGCAGTAACACAGGTAGAGTGAGAAGCAGAGCACCTCTTTTTCTTCTGACTTCTCTGTAAGTCATGTTGGACCAAAGCACCTGAAAATGTATTTTACATTATTTTTTAAACCAAAATCAATCATCTCTGTTGATAATTTAAGTGGGACACAGACTAACAAACCAACAAATAAACCACTGACATTTCATTGTCCCCTTTAGTAAACGAAACTGTTTGTTTGTCTCAGAGACTAGCTCTGTCATTTCATTGTCCCCTTTAGTAAACGAAACTGTCTTTGTTTGTCTCAGAGACTAACTCTGTATAAAACATTGGTGTTGAAAGATGTATTTACTCATATACATCGCCCTGTATACATTTCTTGTACATGCCAACTATTCAGATTTCAAAATTATAAAAGTGACATAGCTGAACAAATGATTCCTATAATTCAGGAGAAGCTCTGTTCTTATAGCTCATGCACGTATAAGGATTAGGGATTTAAGCCACAGTTGCATGTTAATAACATTTATCATTTCACTCATCCAGCACAAGCACTTGTATCTTAATGCCCATTTATTTTCACAGTTAAACTGCCAGGAGTAAGAACTTATATCGATCCACATACCTATGAGGATCCCAATCAAGCTGTCCATGAATTTGCCAAGGAGATAGAAGCTTCATGCATCACAATTGAAAGAGTTATTGGAGCAGGTATCACAGTGTGTTTAAGTCAGATTTTTTACTTGTGTTTAATGATAAGATTTAACGATAGAATGTAATGTGTCATTGTCCTGATCTAATACAGAATTTTTGTGTGTTTGTTTTTATTTTAAATATATTTTTATTGACTTTAGAGAGAGAGGAAGAGAGAGGTAGAGAGAGATAGAAACAAGGATGAGAGAGAAACATCAGTATAGATTGGCTGCCTCCTTCACGCCCCCTGCTGGGCATGTGCCCTGACCGGGAAGGGAACTGGGGACCTCTTGGTGAATGGGTGGATGCTCAACCACTGAACCACACTGGCCAGGCTAACACAAAATGTTTTGATCTTTTGTAACCGACTCACTTTCAAAGTGATATATAATGAATCATATTTTAATGCTACCTTCTGTGTAGCTCACACTTCAACCAGCAAGTGTCTAGTTTATGAAATAAAAAAATAAACCAGCAATATATTCAAACATAGTGTTTCACCATCTACTGTTTATTTTAATACATATACATATATAATTTTTAATGCTGAAATTATTTTTTTTAAAGATATTTTTATTGATTTTTTACAGAGAAGAAGAGAGAGAGATAGAGAGTTAGAAACATCGATGAGAGAGCAACATTGATCAGCTGCCTCCTGCACACCTCCTACTGGGGATGTGCCCACAACCCAGGTACATGCCCTTGACCGGAATCGAACCTGGGACCTTTCAGTCCACAGGCCGACGCTCTATCGGCCAAGCCAAACCGCCTAGGGCAATGCTGAAATTATTTACATAATTCAAGCACCCAGTTATTCTATTTATGAACATTTCTTCCTTACAATTGTTTTCTTTTTATTCCTAAAAAAAGATTTGTCCTGCTAATAATCTTTTCTCCCTTTCTCTTCTCATTAACAGCACTACTAGAATAGAAAACAAAACAAAACGAAAAAAGGAAAAAGGAAATTATTTAAGTCAGTTGCATTTAATTGTGTTGTAACATTTCCATTAAGGGTTTTGTTGGTGAGATGGATGAAGCTAATAACCCCCATAGTGTGTTATGATCACTTGTAGATGATTGTTCCCAGCGCACCATTTATTTCTATTAGCATAGGTAACTAAGTTTGGACTCCTTTGTTAACTCTGTTTCATCTATACCTTGATATTCTGAGTGCTTTATATTATTATTAGATTAAGGATTTAAAATGATTTTGTATACTTTTTCTATCTTTGTCACAAGGTGAATTTGGTGAAGTTTGTAGTGGACGTTTGAAACTTCCAGGAAAAAGAGAATTACCTGTGGCAATCAAAACCCTTAAAGTAGGCTACACTGAAAAGCAGCGTAGAGATTTCCTGGGTGAAGCAAGTATCATGGGGCAGTTTGATCATCCTAACATCATTCACTTAGAAGGTGTAGTGACCAAAAGTAAGTACAACCACAAATTATGCATGCATGTGTGTACGTATCATGGATACCTGGGTTTCTATTAGCTTATTATTAATTTTAGAGTTGAGCCATAATAATATTAATAATTTCTCTAATATAAGTAATCATTGTCCTGTATTTTAGTAGATTCAGGTCAAAGCTGATCTTCAATGAATCTGAATTTCTATTTATGTTTTCAATACATATGTATTGATTCATTTACTATTAATTCAGCACCAGAGAAAATGTATCCAGATAAAAGAAGCAGTAAAAATACCTTTTTTTTTCTCCTGGCTCTTTCACTTTTTATTCTAATGAAATATTAGCTTCAAAGTTTTTATTGAGGCATTGAAGTTTAACGTTTAATAGAATTACTATAACCATAGGTGCCCTGCTTTTTTCAGAACCTTTTAAGTAGGTTTTACAGCCAGATGTGTTTTTTTATTCAATCTTTTTTTCTATTGGGGTATTTTAATAGTTCTAGGGAAAGCAACAGTCTCAGAAGACGGTGAAAGTTCCTTAAGACTAATTATTTTGTTAAAGCAAATCAGATTTGTACTAAGAAATATTTAGAAATTTCACATCTCTTTTAAATTTCTACGAGTGTCGTGTAAATGTAGTTTTGTGGTAAACTTCCCAATATAAAGATTTCAAATAATTTTTAGTCAGCCAATAAAGTATTTATATGGCACATAACTGAGGCCTTTAAGTTCTTTTAACCTATTTTTTTTTTGCCAATTATATTCTCATTCCTTTCTTTATCATTCATGCCCTACATATCACTTACCAAGTCATCTAAAATTGTGGCAAAGAACATCATTTAGACTTTCTTTCAAGCATTTGTTCAATTTCCAGTTTCTATTAATCAAGTTTAAATGACATATGTAAAATATGCACACAAGCCATGTGTATTTAATAAATGTTTTCAACTGACAAATTTTAATTAATAAGCTATCCATTTACTCTATGTAGCTTTTAAAAAAATGAAAAACAAACAACACAAATTTTTATATAACAAGTTCATACCCAAATCATAATTCAGTCACAATAGTTCACAGATAAGAATGCAAAAGTCTTCTCACAAGTTTGAGCAAAAGACCATAGCAGAAGTATCATGGAGATGATTGGTTGAACTTTTTCTAAAATTTTTTAAATTGTATTATTATTTTTAAAATTATTTTAAATTTTATTGGAGTGACATTAGTCAACATGAATATCTAGGTTATATGTGTGGGTTACTAATTTACAAAATCTGTATATCGGACCATGTGCCCACCAACCAAAGTCAAATCTTCTCCTGTCACTTCATTTTAGGACTCTTTTCTTCCCCTACTCCCCTTCCTCTGGCAACCACCACACTGCTGTTTGTGTACATAAGTTCCAGTTTTATATTCCACATATGAGTTAAATCATATAGTTCTTAGCTTTCTCTGTTTGACTTATTTCACTAGCATAATGTCCTCAAGGTCCACCCATGTTGTTATCTCTTTATCCAGTCCTCTATAGTAGGGAACTTTGGCTGTCTCCAACTCTTGGCCACCGTGAATAATGCTGCAGTGAACATAGGGGTTCATATACCTTTGCATATAAATAATTTTGAGTTTTTCAAGTATATACCCAGGAGTGGGATCGTTGGGTCATATGGTAGCTCTATTTTTAATATTTTTGAGGAATCGTCAGACTGCTTTCCATAGAGGTTGTACCAGTCTACATTCCCACCAGCAGTGAATGAGGGTTCCTTTTTTTCAAGAACCTCTCCAACACTTGTTGTTGCTTGTCTTGTTGATAATGGCCACTCTAACTGGTGTTTTAATTTGCATTTCCTTGATTGCCAGTGAGGTTGAACATCTTTTCATATATCTATTTGGCTGTTTGTATGTCTTCTTGGGAGAGGTGCATTTTCAGGTCTTCTGCCCACTTTTTGATTGGATTGTTTGTTTGTTAGGTGTTGAGTATCATGAGTTCTTTTAAGCTAGGCTCTCTATTCTGTTCCATTGATCTATGTATCTATTTCTCTGACGGTACCATGCTGTTTTGATTATTGTAGCTCTGTAGTATATTTTGAGGTCAGGTAGCATGATACTTTCAGTATTGTTCTTTTTTTTCAGAATTGCTTTGGCTATTTCAGGTTTTTTGTGGTTCCATACAAATCCGATGATTTCTAATTCTATTTCTTTAAAAAATGACATTGGGATTTTGACAGGGATTGCATTAAATCTAGATATTGCTTTGGGTAAAATGGCCATTTTAATTATGTTGATTCTTCCAATCCATGAGCAAGAGATTTTTTTTGTCCATTTTGTTGTGTCTTTTTCAATCTCTTAATAAAGTTTTGTAATTTTCAGTATATAGTTCTTTCACATTCTTTGTTAAGTTTATTCCTAGGTATTTTATTCTTTTGATTGAACTTTTGAATAATCCTGTATTGCTATGAGAATGTTTGACCCCATGTCTCCAGGAGACACACATCTCCAGTAAGAATGCCCATACAATGTAGCATAGGAATAAAATAACATGCAAGACATGTGGTTTTCTTCAAAACTTAGATGTTTCCTCCTCTGTTGAGTACTCACCCATACATCATTATCCCCTTGACAGCAACTCAGAGAGTGTATTGCTGGAACAAGAAGAGCACCCTGAGGTCTTATAGAAGCAAACAAGTTGCTAAAGAAAGGTGGGGGGTGGGGTAGGGTCAATAGAGAGGCAGATGGGGTAAAGTACTATTACTTTTTGAAAAAAATAAAATAAAAAATATTTTATGAGCTTATACAGTGTGAGTGAAATATGAAATAAACAACAGGTTTACAGGTACAATAAAATGAAACTACATTTTGAATTTCACTCTACTAGTAGTTCATCTGATAGACTATATTTTATCAAGGGCAGAATCTTGAAAGGATATCAGTGATAGCATAGAGTGCTAGATACCATAGGAAGAAGAATCATAGTAACAACTGAGTAATGTTATTTCCTATTCAGAAATGGTCTTTTCTAATATAAAATAGTATTCTTAAGGATAGTCACAGTATAATAGCATGCAAATATTTGAAAAGTTTCATGTCTTCATTTCATTTTTAATATGATTGCCAAATTTAACTTCCTCAAAATAAATTCTGACCATGACTTCCTACTACCCAGGGTAAACATAAAACTCCTTAGGCTGCCAGTCTACCTTCTGTAATGAATTAAAATGATGTTTAGAACTGTGCCAAATTACTATTACTACAATGGAGACAATACTGTGTAATGGTCAGAAGCATGGACTATGGATCTAGCCATCTGATTTTATTTTGGTTCTACCATAACTACTATGTGACTGCACGAATTAGTTAAACATTCAGCAACCTTAGTTTCTTCATCGAGGACATGAATTAAAAATATCTCCTAGTCATGTTGGAAAGATGACATGAACACAGGTAAAGTTCAATATGGGCATGGCACAGAGTGGGTACTTAATTATTATGTAACTAGAGGCCTGGTGCATGAATTTGTGCACAGGTGGGGTCCTTTGGCCTGGCCAGCAATTGGGGCTGATCAGGGCCCATCTCACACAATCCTGATTGGGGCCAGCCAGCTGGGGGGAGGGACCACAGGAGGTTGGCCATCCAGGGGGAGGGATCATGAAAGGGTGGCCTCATTTAGATATTTAAATGGATATGGAGTAAGTTCAGAGCATAGTAAAAACGATAAATACAAAAGTAATGATCTATATATATAAAAGCTTAAGCGACTGTTACAACCTAATGACTGGATGACCAGAGGACCTGCCGATAGCTATGACACGCACTGACCACGAGGGGGCAGATGCTAGGAGCTACCCCCTGGTGGCCAGTGTGTCCCCACAGCCAACCTCCTGTGGTCAGCCAACCTCCTGCAGTTCCTCCCCCGAGCCTGCCAGCCAGCCCTGATCAGCCCCAATTGGCCCCGATTGGGAATGGGAGAGATGGCCCCCCTGATAGGCCCCAATAGCCTGCCAGGCCGAAGGATACCACCTGTGCATGAATTTGTGCATGGGGCCTCTCTCTCTCTCTCTCTCTCTCTCTCTCTCTCTCTCTCTCTCTCCATATATATATATATATGATACATTTATATATGTATATATGTATACATATATATTACATTTTTATACGTCTGCATATATACGTGTGTTTTTTATTGATTTCAGAGAGAAAGGGAGAAGGAGAAAGAGATAGAAACATCAGTAATGAAATGGAATCATTGATTGGCTGGCTGCTTCCTGCAAGCCCCACAACCTGGGCATATACCCTGACCAGAAATTGAATTGTGACCTCCTGGTTCATAGATTGATACTCAACGATTGAGCCACACTAGCTGGACTTTCTCCATCCTTTTAAGTGAATGTATCAGATATTAGTGGGCAACATTTAAAATTTATTAGAACTAATATTCACCTACTTTTATTGAGTCCTGATTTATTACTGAACTTATGTGAATGGAACATGACTGAGATAAACTAAGAGAAGTAAACTTCTCAGAGACAAACAACTGAATTTATAACATGCATTATAAGCACATGAAACCTTTATTTATAGAAGCAAGTATCAATGTCAAAAGTGATTACTAAATTCTGCAAATGCTAGTCTATAATAGTACTGTGGTTGGGAAAAAAATGGTTTTTAAATGTCCCATCTCCTCACCAATTATCCTAGTTGATGTTTCTTCCATGAGGTTACAGATATAAGTAAAACAAAATGTAAATATTTTAAATATGTCTCTGTCTTTAATTTGTGTTCTATGTGAATTGAAATTGTATTTACCCTTATTGAATGTAGCTCTTGATGTTCAACTTAGGAAGTCTTCAACTTGTTTTTAATTTACCATGTTGCAACTCACTCTATTTGTGTCCTTAATTTCATGCTTTCTGATCTGATGCTAATTTATTCAACAATTATTTTCAACCTGCAGCACACAGATAATGAGACATAAGTGCAATTGGATCTTGTGATTTTTCTGATTGGGGCTGAGATAGGGCGTCTGAA